TAATTATCCAATGTAAAATTAAATTTTAAATTCTATTATTCTCAAACTTTCGGATCGTTTAATTATATTTATGTATTATAATATATGATACTCTATAAACAATCTAGGAAAAAAGAACAAATAAAGTTATCGAAAAATTCTAAAAAACTTCAACAATATTTTAATTATTTACAGGTACATACACTATATACCATATGTATATATAAAAAAGCCAGGAGCTAACACAGCGAAATATCAGTCAGCATCCGCTGACGAACACCCTTGAAAATCGACGGACAGATAGAGCTCGCGCTTTTTTCCTCTTTCTCTCGTTACAGTCTCGTTAAGCTCGCGCGGTTCATTTCCGACGTTCGTTCTCATATACACGTTCTCTCATCCGGATATACATATACATACATATGTGCCGCGAGACTGAGTGTTGCGCAGCATCGCGAGAGCACACACCTTGTTACAGAGATGCGCATCCGCGCGTGGCAAGTGGCTCTTTTGTGGGGCCGAAAATTGGCAAACTCGCCACTCTCGGGACACAATGCGAGTGTTTCGTATTCAGCGAAACGCTCGCGTCTTCACGCGCGAACTATCAGGAAAAGGAGGGGAAGAGGGAGGCTGCTCCCATTTGCATCCCAATTCTTTTTCGCTGATTCGCTCGTCCCATCCGAAGTAAAAACCCTCCTCCGCACAGTTTTGAAGACAACTAACTTCCTAAATTTTTTCTTTGTAAACAAAAAAGTATACAGTACACGCGCAGAATTAATAATATAAATAATAATCAGATTAAATAATGAAAAATATATAATTTCAAAATATAATAAATATATAATTATATATAAATATATAATAAATATTATACATTAAATATATGTATAATATACATATATATAAACATATATATATATATATATATATAATTTATTAAATATGATATTAATAAAATATATAAAATATATATTTTTACATATATAATTAAAGAAACTAGAAATATATAAAATTTAATGAACAATAATTTGTGCACACTCAAATACGGAGAGAAAAGAAATTTCCACGAGATATATATAATTTATTAAATATGATATTAATAAAAGATACAAAAATATATATTTTTACATATATAATTAAAGAAACTAGAAATATATAAAATTTAATGAACAATAATTTGTGCACACTCAAATACGGAGAGAAAAGAAATTTCCACGAGATTTATTGATATAATTTTTATTTAAGCTTTTTTCTCGGTTTTTTGTTCATGTAATTTTTTTCTCATTTGTATTTCAAGTTCTCTCAAATTTTTATTCCTGCCCCCTTAATTTTTTTTGCTCGCGTGTACTTAAGTCTTTATTGCAGCGTGTCCGCTCATCAAGGCGCGCTTTAATCTGTTACTAATGAAATTCCTCGCAACGTAGTAGATCCGCGTAGTAGATCTTAATATAATGCGCGACTATGCAAATTTTTGGGGTTACTAGGCGCCCTCAGAAATGCTGCGCGCTTCTCGCCTAATAATTATCACAACGAGTGCAATGCACACACGATGCGCGGACTAATTAAGCTGGTTTAATCTAATTGTGACATTCAAGATTGATTAGAAGACTCTGTATCTTAAGACATCCATCTTCTTCATTTGATTCGAATAAAAGTCAATTATACTTATTGTTAGTCAATTTATTAATGAGTACGGCGCATCGGAGAATTTGCGTGCCAAAAATTCGATGAAAATAAAAAAACATTGTAAAATGAAATGATATAATAATAAAATTTGCGCCAGGTAATAATTTGCAATCGACGAAGTGAAGTCCAAATTGTCACTTCAATTATGCGATCGGAGACCTAATTAATTAATTAATTATATACAGAGTATTTATCGTCGCTGACTTGATTGGATTGCTTTATCTTTGCTTCGCAAATCGTCTGTTTGAGGAATCTATCACCATACGATATAGTCGCCCGCTGTTTGCTTAATCCTTGGAATAATATTGGGTTCGTTGCATACGAAATATTGGATTCCGAAAGTTCCAGCTTTATAGATCTCACTAAATAAACATTCTGCGATAATCAAATATAACGCATCACGTGACAAAAGTGATATAACTCTCTCACGATAGCACTCTACGATTTTTTAAAAATATTTTTTTATCAAATTACAGCAGATTTATTAAAATGCAAAAATTAATTATATTTATATATATATATATATATATATATATATTTAATAAATATACATTAATTCTAATTAAAATAATTTTAATAATTAATTTGATCAATAACTTTATAAATTTGAATTAATATATATGTATATACAAATTAAAATTATATTGTATGCATTTATATATAAATTATAAATTAATGTTTTCGTTCCTCCTTCAAAAAAAATTTCAAAAAAATATTCCAGGTTGTCCGAGAAAATTCCTGCGGGAAATAAACACGTGGATTTTTGAGATCGCGACTATTCATCGAATCCCACAAAAAGGATCGAGTACAGCTCCGTTGCATACGTATCGACGAGTATATACATTTTCAACCGCGAATCTTTGAAGCGACAAAATACATCTGCCCGCGCAAAGTGACGGTTTGTGTAAATGCATTTCCGACATTTGATGCCGTTTGATGTGATCCCATTCATCGCATCACGTGGATGCATCGTGCGAATCCGCAGCTGCATCTTTCTCCCTCCCACATCACTGTTCTCGCTCTACAATAAGGATCATTCTCCTAAGTTATTCTTCCATTAGTCTCTTGCACGAAAGGGGAACGTATCGTTAGAAACATATCATGTTGGAAATGCTTGACAAAAGCCGAAAATAGCGCTTGAAAGCGATATCCCCGAATCCTTTCCCGTCATTCTATGAATCCGAATCCTTTTTCGTTATTTTGTAAATGAATAACCCGCGCAAAAGGACCGCAAGAGACTATCGCTATTAATTAATCCTTTCTTTTGACATTTTTCAGTCGAGTTGTTCCACGAAAATTAGGACAATTATATTTATAATGAATTTATTTAATTAAAAAGTTTCGAAAGAAAATAGATTATTATCTAAATTTAAATTAAAAACAAATTACATGACACCAACTAATGTATCTCTTGTGATTAATTAGTTTAAATATTATTATAATTATAGTTATTAAATAACGTGAGATACGATTGAAATTTGATAAAGCTCAAATTTCTTTTTAACATTTTTTTAACCAATTTTTTTTTTTACTGAAACTTGATAAAATTTTATTTTTGCTGCTGTATCGTCACACAGAACTTCTCAATCCTCTTTTCACAAATTATTAGCGGACATCTTTCTTATGAGAGATTCTTTGCAAATAAGTTAATTTTTCTTTATACATATTTTTATAAATTTCATATTTTACACTTAATTATATATAAATATAACTATTATTTTACATGGAGCAATAAAACAAACTCATATTTATATTAAAACGCAGAAGCTCCATTTCCTACAGGTAATGGATATACAAGATGATTCTCGTAATGACCATTGCAATTTTCAAAGCACTTAGAAAAATCTAACAAAAAATGTCATAAACAGAAATGTAGCAGTTTATAACAAATTGCAATAATACAAATTAGTTGAATACTTTTGTTTAATAAAAAGACAAGATCACTTTGACTTTTTTAATTACAACCATCTTTTGTTCCTATTTAATAGTAACACAGAAGACAGCAAAATACAATAAATTCAATGAGTACTCACAGTGTCATTTAAATTGCATTACAGCTTAAATTATTTTAAATTTGTACAACGTAATTAGAATGATCAAAATAATTGAAACAATGAAAATAATGAAAATAGTCAAAACAATCAAAATAATCAATATAAGTGCGATCAAAATGGACGAAATAGTTAAAATTAATTGATCAAAATAATTGAACGATTATAATGATTAAAATAATTAAAACGATCGAAACAATCAAAATAATCAATGATCACTTAATTTAATTATTTTGATCGTACATTTCTAGTAAACATTCTATATTTGGATGATAGCAAAAAGTTACATTAAAGGAGAACTGGTAAATAAGGCTAAATTCTGCCTCGCGATGGAACCTAAATTAACCTTAAGAAAATTTCATTTTTCTTACGACCAAAGGAAGACGAAAATAACTGTCATTTATCCGAGAACTAGTGGGAAAGCTTTGGGAATAGCGCATTTATAATATAATATAACATAATAAACTGTTAAGCTTTAATGTTGATTTATACATAGAGAAACTAACAAGTTTTCAACAATAATCTCAAAAAAATTCTAAATAATCTGAAAAATACAAAGACACATAAGTTGTCAAACTTGTATGTGTACATATAGATGCGCATCATACATAACATAGATGTAACATCAGCAAATGTGGATTTATGAAAAATATTATCACTTTCATGCTATTGTCTATATTCATTTTAAAGTTGATATTTTTTGTAAATTATATTATATTATAAATGCGCTATTCTCTCAAAGCTTTTCCACCACTTTTCAGATAAATGACGGTAATTTTCGTTTTTCTTTGATCGTAAGAAAGACCTTTTCAAGATTAGTTTAGGTTCCATCGCGAGGCAGAATTTGCCTTATTTACCGGTCCTCCTTTAAAATGCTTTATTAAGATATGTAAATTAAAATGACTGTGTAACTTAAAATGTAACTTAAAACGTAACTTAAAACGTAACTTAAAATGTAACTTAAAATGTAACTTAAAATGTAACTTAAAATGTAACTTAAAACGTAACTTAAAACGTAACTTAAAACGTAACTTAAAATGTAACTTAAAATGTAACTTAAAACGTAACTTAAAATGTAACTTAAAATGTAACTTAAAATGTAACTTAAAATGTAACTTAAAACGTAATTTAAAATGTAATTTAAAATAACTATGTGCACTCATTCAATATATTTTGCTGTCCTCTACGTTGCTATTAAAGAAAAGAAACAGGATAGTTCCGTTTAAAAAAACCAAGATTATCATGCAAAAAAAGATTCGAGTTTCTCGACTTTCTACAACCTTCCAGGATACTGGCCGTTCGGCGTGGTGTGGTGCAACGTATACGTGACATGCGACGTGCTCGCGTGTTCGGCGAGCATAATGCACATGTGCTTCATCTCCCTGGGCCGTTACCTGGGCATTCGTAATCCGCTCAGGACACGTCACACGTCCACGAAACGGGTGGTGGGCTTCAAGATCGCCGCTGTCTGGTTGCTGGCCATGCTGGTCTCCAGCTCCATCACGGTCTTAGGTAAATTATTATTACATCCTTCCCCCCTCGCTCTTCTTCTCTCTGGTCCAGACAGAGTGAGAAAGAGAGAGATAGAGGGTAAATATATCCTGACATAGACCGACACGTATTTTGTAAAGGCGAATATGAAGATGCAAACATACCTCAAAGGGAAGCTGCACTTCCGCGCTTGGTTGTTTGCCCATTTATAAAGTACACAATCCCTTTTATTCCGGATAATTCTATTTTAAAGAAATTTCGGACGAATCGCTCTGCTACACATACACAATTGTGGGTTTGTCCATTAATCTTCGCTCGGTGGTGATAAGGAGAGTCTCTTAAGGATCTTCATTTTTCCACACTTTTAAGAAAAATATATACGCTATAGTCTGGATAGAAACAGATGCGATCTCACGAGAAGAGACTTCGCGGTTTTTATCAAGCTTTTTGCAAGATAAAGAACGGAAAAGCAACGATGCGATGCGGCATATAATACACATTTATCGGGACAATGCACATTTATCAAGGCGCGATTTTAGGCTTCTCGATCTAGCCGGTTTATATTGAATAATAGCCTTCTTTCCGCCTTTCCATCCTCCTATTATGCAAATAAACCGATATAAATTTCGATTAACCGAGTTATACAAATTTCGCGGAAATTTCGCGTTAAACCCTGCTACTATATAATATCCTCTCGAGAAAGTCGATAGCGCAAAGTTAATCGAGCTCAAATGCGAGGGACTCGACAATAATTTCCTCTTTGACGTAATTGTATAGTGTAACACATTCCCGAAACAAACTTTAGAAGCGCTAATTCAGAGAATAACACTGTTTAACAAAAAACAAAAAAAAATTGAAAAAAGTCATTTTTTCTTGAACTGTATAATTTTTGAAAATAAGATAAAACAAAAAAAGAGATAATTCGAGAAAGGGGGGATTCCCATCCAACTTGACAGATAATCAAGAGCAATTCAAACGACAGCTGATCAGAGAAGGGATGCTGCTGATCGAGAGGTCGACGAGGACTCGAACAGCAAGGATCTCTTGTTTCAGGCATCATCAACCCCTCGAACATCATGCCGCGTCCAAGGATGTGTGTCATCAACAACCGGGCGTTCTTCGTGTTTGGTTCCCTGGTCGCCTTCTATATCCCCATGATCGTGATGGTGGCGACTTACGTGTTGACGGTCCAGCTGTTGCGCAAAAAGGCGCGATTCGCCGCCGAACATCCGGAAGGCGATCAGTTTCGCCGATTGGGCGGCAGATATGCGTCGACAAAGACGTCATCGTCGACAGCGTCGTCTTCCTCCGCAGTAATCACCACGTCCGCCATGAGATCGTCCTCCTCTTCGGCGAGACTCGGCCGCACTTCCGGTTACAGCGCTGAAAAGGAAAGGTGAGAAGTCTTATAAAATATAAGTCTCTTACTATTTTTTTATACAATTTTAATAATTATTATGACTATGTAATTTAAAATTATGTTCTATTTTATTGTAATTTATAATTTATAATTTTTATAATTGTAATTTATATTTGATAACTAAATAATTTCTAATTTTAATTTCTAATTTCTGATTTTAAACTTTGCATTTTTTATTCCTCATTTTTAATTTTTATTAATTAATTTATAATTTGTAATTTCTAAATATAATATGCTAAATTAATAATACAAAATAGTTAGATCATATATAAATAATTTATGTACTTTTTACATAATTAAAAGTCATAACACATAATTTTTAATTAAATAATTATAGAAATATATTTATTATAAAAATATAAAAATATATGAAATAAGTTCAAACAGATCAAAGAAAGTGTAGGTTGAACAATCTTGATCTTGTTTTATTTCCATATAAAGAAATTATATTTTATTTGAGCATATATAGTGAAATACACGATTCATAGCTGATTACAAAATAGAATCACGACTGTAACATTTATTTCCGTGAATTGAATCGAATCGTCTATCAAATTGCGCTTTTATAGCGCAGCTTTATGCAAGGCAGATCGCAAAGTATGCAACACTTCTGACGTCAAGCGACGATTTACGAGTCTATGTATCTTAAATCGAGCATCGCAGCGTAACAGCCAATCCGGGGAATAAATGTCATTTGAACTTTCTTCGTTCAAATTTCTTCAATTTTTATCGTAACTCGACAAAACTCGCATACAAATGCAGACACTGTCACATTATTATTGATGCAAAAATTATAGCATTTTTCAATTTACGTCATTGCAAAGAGAAGTAAAAGTATTTTATTCACAAAAAATTTATATTTCATTAAATATGTCAATGATAAATAAAATGATAATAAAAAAATATTTATTAAATATATGTATATATTAATTAAATTAATTATAAAAGAGCTAATGTTTTTTTTTATTTCTGCAATTTATATTCTGTTATATTTTTCATATTAAATAATTCAACGACTTCAATAATAATAAAAAAAGTTATATATCAGTTAAATTAATTGTAGAGAATAATATAAGTGGAATGTTTCTCTGTTTTCTCCGAGAACAAACGCGTACGTAATAGTTTTCGGGGAATGTAGAAAGTTTGGTTTAATTGTCGGAACACAGCGACAAATGCGGAGGTGTGAGAAGGGTCCTGCCGCATCTAAAGTTAGCGGTGAACGGCGCCGGAAGTCCTGCCTCAGGACCAGGACTCAAGTCGAAAGTGGATCAGGCGACCCAGACGCCGGAGAACATCGCTCGCGAAACACGAAACTTCACCCTCAGAGCCCTGAAGCTGCAGTTAAACGTCACCCCTAACACCCTGAACCTCAGGTATTGGCGAAAGAAACGTCCAAGGCGGTAAGAGAGGCGCTACTGTAGCAAAACAAATATGGCCGCCGTGAATATACAACAGCAGTTTTAAGTGGAAAAATAAATTTTTTTAATGAAAAAGATGTCATTGCGGTTAGACACACTTTGTGATTATACAAAAACTCTGCCTTCATCAAGGAATATGATCGAAAGCCAGAATGTTATAAATTCCGGCATGATTATACATATATTGTACCTAGCTAACCATTTGCTTGGAAATTGTTAACAATCGGGAAACAAAATACGACCAAATATGGCTGCAAATCCAGGGCCTATTGTGTCCTCAAGTGCGCTCCAATTGCAATCAAAAGTTGAAAGTATATCCTAACATCAAGTTGGGTGCAACGCCAGAGCACATCTGTCACTAACAGTGCGACGACAGATTGGCAACAGACTGGGAACAGATTTGTCAATCGTAAATTGAGAACAGATTTGCGCCAAATACTCAGCAAATCGAAGAAAAATCCTAGATCTGAAGGATCTGCTGCATTTTTGGCATCAATCTGTTGTCAACATTTTCGACAGATCTGCTTGCTAGTCATTGCCACTTTGTCAATATAGTCTGCTAACAGATGTTGGGAAATATTTACTGAATTTATGCTTACAATATTTGTAATGACAAAATATGTTTCTTCTCTGCGGCCATTTTACAAACAAAAGTTGTTGCCTACATTTGCCTCCGCAGAAATGGTTAGCTGGGTATGTGCGGTGTAACTATAAAAAGTAAAAAAAAAATAGATTTATATTCCTTATGTCAACAAATAAGTGTCTTGACATCAGAGTCTCATTTGATCATTGAAACATTATTAATTAATTTTTCAAATAATAATAAGATATAATGTTAGATGTATATTCGCGGCGGCCATTTATGATAGTTCACGCGACCACCATTAGTGTCGCATTGAATTTTTAAGTCCCGATCCTCTCGCGGGAAAAAAATGTTTTTCTCATACGCGTTAAAAAAATATTCGACGTTTTTTTTCTTCAAGACTCACGTTCTCTCCTTTTCAGATTCCTCGCAGGACGAACGAAAAAGAGATCTCTGGCCGCGAACGCGGTCGCGACGG